TTCTGGTGAGAGGATAAAGGGAAATGGCATTACACATGCTTTCAGGGGCTGCTGTGCCCAAATGTTTATACAAGCCACCATCCAGAAAGAAACATGCTGCCAGGTTCAAGTCCCAGGCTAGCATAAGTTCTATAATGTACTGGCAGAACCTTCTATAAGGTGTCCTCAACTAGGATGGAAATGTATACTTTATTGTCTCCACAAAAAAAAACAGAGCACTTATGACCAAGGTCTTCAAACTCAAGGTGGAAGTGAAAGGAAAGACATTTAAACCTTTGGGAACTCAAGTGGATTATGTCCCTCCAAGCCAGGACTCTCATGTTAAACTTTGTGCCTGCTTATGCCTCTTGACTGCAACTATCAACGGCAAGGCTTGGTTTCAAATCCTTTCTTACATTAATTATTTATTTTATTTGAATTGTCAAATACTTGCAGTGGGTTTTGTAATGAGAAATTAGGCTCATCTTACAGATCCCTAAAGGAGGGAAATAACTTGTTCAAGATATGAGAAAGTAAATGTATATGTTTAATTTCTTCTCAAAGCAAAAGAAAGTCAGACTCCATATAGGAAGGTGTCCAGATCTTGCCTGGGGATAGGTTGCATGGGAATAGCTCTCTTCAGACCACAACAAAGTGTAAACACAGAAGGAAGAGAAGAGCCAGTGGAACCACGGTGTTCACATACGAGATGGAGGGAACAGAAAGAGAAGGTTATTTTCAACAGAAAAAGCAGCATGGGAAGGAGAAGCAGTATCAGGAAAGGAAGAGAAGAAAGCAATGAGAGAGTCAACAGTTATTCACCTTAGAGACAAAGGTGGTAAGAGCCCCCCAGGTGCTGTGAAGGATGCTTGGGAATCCTCCGTGGGCAACACAAGAGCAGACACATTATTTGGACAGTCACAGAAAATGTGCATTTTGTCCACAGATTATAAACAGATATTTATAGTTCTAGTTCTTCTTTTCCCCCCTTCCCCAACAATAGGGTATATTTTGACTTCAGATGGGTAAGGTATAAGCACCCCTTAAAATAGCAAGTTAGAACAGAGTCTGTTTTATAGAGCTGCCTCCTGTCAAGGTACTACTGAAAATGCCCTTCCTTTGGGTATCTATGGTATCTGAAAAAGAAAAAAACAAAAAAAACCCAAAAAAACAAAACCCCTCCCCCTTCTGTCCATTATGGCATCTGCCAACATTATGGCCTTATGACAGCAGAGGACTGGCTCCCGTCCATTTCCTGACCATCCAGTTCTTAATTATTTGGCTGCATGAGTCCTGCTGAGCACCATGTGCAAATGTGCAATAGGTCATGGACTCAGAATTGGGGTCTGGCCCAATCCTGATATTACAGAGTCGTTTTTAGAAAGACACTATGCATAATACAGCCTTCAGCAAAGCCTGGCCAATGGTCACACTTCATTCCTGCGACAGCCAAGACCTTTTCAAATGCAATCCAATAATACACAGTAGCATTCAAACAAGTGACGGGTTACAGAGAGAGATGTATTACTGCTTTTAGTACTCAGCTGGGCCGGCTTGGTTAGGGGCTGTTACGCTTCGCATGCCAAAGTGTCTAGCCAACTCTGCGAGAAATCCCACAATGTTAGACAAGAGCGTACAGAACACATTTCAACACCAAGGAGAAAAAAAAAAAAGCCCTCACCCATACTGTCCCTCATGTAAAGTCACATTTCACTGGTTGTCCAGAAGTGAGAGCTGAGTTCATGTGAAACAAAGCTCCTATACCTGATTTCACGCCCAGACCATCAGCAAACTGGGCAAAATTGCCGAGATACTTGCAGAAGGGCTGCACACTGCAGTCATTCATCAGTTCAAGCTTTTCTCAGCCCTTCCACCTCCCCCAACCCATTCACATCTGCTCCACCTGGAAGAGGAGATGACCACCATTGTACAGGAGGTGGGAAAACAAGAAACCAAGAGGAACTGGCTCGGCTGGGAGACACGCTCCTGCGCACAGGCTTGGCTGGATTTAGAGGCGGTTGAAGGAGGCATGGTCGTGAAATGCAGGAAGCGAACCTGGACACAGGGCTGTTCTCATCAGCAGCCACCTCTCAGCTCAGTAGGAGAGCTGACATTGCAGGTGCAGTATATCCAAGGCACCCACATGGGGCTGGTAGATATGGCACAACATGTGTTGGAAATCCAAACCCTGATGGATTGACCACTAGCAGATGGCAGCAGACCTGCAGACAGGAATAGGCATGTAGGTTTAGGCACCTGAATCACACCAGCCAGCCAGGGTCGACCTCGCTGAGGCAGATGTTTGAGTTTAAATGCCCGCATTTGAGAAACACCTCTAAACTCTCGTCTCACTCAGCGAAGCCAAAGCAGGCAGGGGATCCTACAGTGAAGCAGACACCTGCACATGCTCAGCTGAACAGCTCTCCAGGTTCCACCAACTGTGCTGACCACATCTCCACTCACTAACAGGAGCCTAGGGACCCAGCTCACACAGAGGCACTTCAATTTCTTAATAGGTATCTTAAGCTATTTAAGATATCTTAAAGCATGAGCAGAATCCCGCCCTCTGGGACAAATTCAGGTGCCTAAATATCAGCATCTAGCATTGTTTGAGGTACTGTAAAACATTGCACTTCATCACCAGCTGACCCTCCAGAAGCATAAATGTCTCTCAAAGCGTACTAATACATATATTTAGGTAGATGAATCCTATTCTCCTTGTCTGTGTTTAAACAGTGATAGACAAAGCCCCTACTGAATCCCAGCCTGTTTTTTTCCTGACCCACTTGTAGCTCCTTGTTAACCAGTGGCTAGGACAGCTCAGATTTTGTGCACTGGTGGACCAAAGCATAAAAGCTTTCCATTGTCCGCGTTCTCATGAACGTACCAGTTCATGAAATCCAGCATGTGGATTTTCATACTGTGCAAGTGCGGTGCATCCCAACTGCCCCATAAACCTGCTCCTTGAAGGGCCAGGAAGAGCTCAAGAATGTTATGAGGCAGATATAGTAAAAATCCTAGAAAAATTTCTTCCCCAGCCAGCCTCCCCTGCTGCTGTCAGTCACGATGCAGCTACTCAAGGCGATGCGTGATGGAGAACTGCTGCCTACAGGCCCCTAACCACCCGCGAGCCAAAATGATTCTTGGCAAAGCCCTTCTGTTTCCCGTCTCCTTCCCCAGCTTCCACAAAGACCTTCCTCCTCTTGTTGCAGACTCCTGTCAGAGGCAATTAAATGCACCTCATTTCTCCAGGAAGCAGAGCAAGACTTATCCAAGTTAGCAGGTTGCAGTGCTGCAGAAACCTTTCCTGGCTGGGCCCTGGGACAAATGGGTAAATGTCTAGATCTTGCTTTCAAACCTGGAGGAACTTCCAGGATAGAATAACTTACCTTTTATTACCAAAAAAGTCTAGGGTACACGAGGCAGAA